CTTAATTTTTCAAATTTAAATTTTTTTAAAAAATTTAAAATCCTATGTTACAATTTTAGACCAAGCCTCGCCCAGTATGAAAAATAAACTGACCAAGTCCGTATTTTTATCTCATCATTTTAGTAAGCCTGAGTTTTAAAATTTCCTTATTTAGAATATTTAGGCAAATTGTTTCAAAGGAAAATTAACCCCATTAATTAATTAATATCATTTTAAAATAGAATCACCCCAACCTGGCTCGGATTCCTTTTTTAAGCACAATTAGATTTTTAAAATTCTAGGCCCTTTCGAATTTATAAAGAATAGAATTTATAAACTTTTTAAAAATTGTTACTATATATCAATAGCTTATAATGCTACCTAGAGTGACAATTTATGTATAAAAATTCTTATATGGAAACGCCATTCAACAGCGCTTTAAATGAATTATCAATCTATCAATCAGCCAACGTAAGTAATTTTAAATCAAATCTTTTTATTTCAACTAAGCAATAATTATCATAATTCATTACCCTGCCTTATTTATTTCCTCTAATTATATAATTTATCTTATACGCCTTTGATTCAAAATGTTTTTTTAAAAGATGAAAAATGTTAATATTTCAGTTTTGCTCTTTCCTCTAGTAAACATTGAACCCCAAACTGGTAGGGGAAAATTTGATTGGCTAATTTTTTGAAAAAAAAGAAAATATCAAAAACACTAGTTAAAATAAGTTAAGTTTTAAATAAAAAATATAAATTTTAACTTAATTTTTTGTTAAATTTAAAATAAATCATTTTTATGTAAATTTTCTAATAGACTAATTACTGCTAAAATTTACAATCGTGGCGTGATCCACCGTGACATGATTGCTCACATGGATTTCGAAGACTCGCACCCACCGCTATACTAAATAAAATGAGAAAATAACGTTTCGTCACTTATAAAATTACTGAAGGTTTTTATTTTGAATGTTAAAAATTTGCCCAGTAATTTTTCATAGAGTTAATATCTTCTTCGATTTAAATCTCATTCATTGATTGGTTTAAGCAATGTAGTATTTAATGCAATCGAAATCCCAGCTGATTCTTTAAATTGATAATTTTTGAAATATACTTCACTTCTCATATATAATCATAGTTTTTTCATCGTTTAGCTCCATATTTATAATATCTATTGGCTTGATTTTATAAGGAACGTAGCGTTAGTTACCGCACCGCTTAAACAAATCGCATTTGCTATAAATGAGGCTTAGTATGATTTAGGTTTCAAATGTATACTCCTCCCTAACCCATACTTGTGTTTGATATAGCTGATATTAAAACATTTTTAAGTTCTCAGAATCATAGTGATCTATACTTCGATGTAGCACTGGTAGATTCCATTAGGGTTTAGCCATGAAAGATTTGTTAATCCCCCTCAGCATTTAGACCTATAAACTGCACATATAGATCATTATCGCGAAACATCAAGGTTGAAGGTAATCGATATTTAATTTTATAAAATATAAAAGCTCTTTTCATGGGTCTGGTTTCACTACGATAACGGATGTCAACGTCTATATGATAGGAGTTTCGCGGAATCCAAAAACCCCTCAAAAAACAAACCTACCCCCTAAAAAAATTCGTTGCCTTTAATCGCGATATTTTTCCTTTAATTACACCTTTTTAATTATAATAGTAGGGGAGACTGGGGTTAGTCGAACAATTTTTACAAAATTGGCTATAGCACTTGTTGTTTTATAGATAATATAAAAAATAATATATGATTGGATACCTTACTCTATAAAGGTGCCTTATAAAAAATAAGAATATAAATCATTTTTTTTGTAAAAGTAAAAATTTTGTTCAACAAGCCCCAATAGCGGGGTGAGGCAAACCACTTCAAGGGGCTTCATAAACCATTGGTTTTTTTAGTCCATATTAAATTGAAATGCATTTTTATTTATTAATAATAATATGTATAGAATTATTTTATTGTTCAAAATATCATAATACTTATAAATTGAAACTAATTATATATAAAAATTTAAACTTAATTTTGGCTAATTTAATAAACATTTTGGACATAAAAAAATATGAATTCTAAGGAGAGATTAAAATTTCTTAGCATAAATCCTAAATACCAATCATAAACAGCCATGAAATTGCCTTTTCAAGATTTTGAAATTTATTTCATTATCGATTGCTATAAATGTCGTGTATGGTTTAGCAAACCCCGCTAGCTCTAAATTGACAAATCATGATTGAAATAATATCTAGATTTGATAAATACTCATAAAACTTACCCAAATTATAGAAGAATGTTTAAACTTTGTAATAAAATTTAATTTACATATAAATGATTATAAATTTTAATAAAAATTAAAATTCTGTCATGTAAAAATCTTTTGAAAATTTTATTTCTTAAATAGAATTTTTAGTAATTAATTATTTCAAAATATATTTTGTCCATAGATGTATACTAATGAAAACTATATTAGGATAAAATTTTACCTTCTGGTGTATTTAATTTTAAAATGAGATTAAGTGGTTTGCTAAGCCCCGGGGTTTACCTAACCCCAGTCTCTCCTACTCTTCATAAATTTTAAAAAGAATGACTTAAATTATTAACTACCAAAGTATTGTAAATGTAAGTTATTTTTAGAGCTGTCAGTTCCCAAATTTTTCTCCGATCCGATTATATTGATTTGATTTTGTTATCTACATTTGTATCAATGTCATAAAAATATCAATATTTTCTCCTAAAAAGACCAGCTAACTGTATATTTTATTCTCCAAAAGTTAATCTCATAGAACATTTGCAAAGTGTATGGGATAAATGTAGTGTTGTTAAGCAGCTCTATTTGGCGGATTTTAAAGATGGCGAAATCAAGATTTTCTCAAAATATTATTACTTAAGCTTCGAAATTTCGCTAATCCAAACCTTTCTGCCATCTGTGGGCCAAATCAATAAGCTTGAGTAATTTACTTTCGGCTATAACCTTGAGTTAAACGTTTTTATAAATAGACTAAATCTAACTGTTTATGTAACGTTAGATATTTTAAAATACTTTTCGTGTTGCAGATAATATCAAAAAAAATAGTTTTTAATTTTTATAAACACAACAAATAAATTGTATTTTAGTTCCTTTCGTTAATTTATTGTGAAATTATTTATAAAATAAAATTATATGATTTTACATACAATCATAAAAAATATCGGATAGAATCGGTTTTATATAGGACCCGACCCGGCACAGCCCTAGTTGTTTTTTAGAACATGTAAGAACACCCTCACTTACAATGAATGCATTATAGTATATTGTTTGGCATGAATGAGTTTACTGAGAATGCCTAACCTTTAAATTACATTTAAGGATAGCAGAAAGTTTTATTTAAAATGTTATTTTTGTATCCAATATATAGGTTTGGCCAATGGTTAGCAATGTAACTAATATATAGGTCCATAACAAGTATTAATTTTATATGGAGTATAAAAAAAAATAGATATTAGAAAATTGTATTATGTTGAATCAATATTTCTTTATCATCTCCAAAACCTGAAACTGGCTCAAACCCGTTTTAAATTTTTTTTCCTGAATCGATTACTCTTTTTTTTTGTCGAAGGGTTCATGTCCCTGATAAATATAAATTAATAGTAGTGCTGTAAACATTTCTAAAAAAATCGAACACGCGCAACGCTTATTGACAAATTCGAACGCGTTCACGTCCATTCAAAATTTTATAATTTTTTTTTAAGATTTAATTTAATATAATTGTCTTATACTTTTTAACACAATATATTAGCCAGGTTAAAAAATAATATAGTGAATAATAAAAAATTTATCTTTATTAATTTTTATTAACAATTGTTTTTCAAATTTTTCATCTGATAGGCAGGAAAGCTAGCAATTAATACTGTATTAGCTATAAAAAAAAGGGCGCTCTACAGGGGCAGATGAGGGGATTGCAGTATTATATTTAAAAAAAACAACTCTTTTAATGAGGGGAATTTATTAAATTATTGTTTTGTTCTTTGCTTAAAAAAATGAGATAAGTTATCCTCCTTCAATATATCCTCTACTTCCTCATTTTATATCAAATATAATACAATCAAATGTCGTTCTAAATTAGAACCTGAAGATTCTGAAACTGATATTATACTTTTTGAGCACATTTTATATTTGGTAACTATGATTGGGCCATATCAAAATCAGATGATGAAATAATAATATCCATGCTTATGTTAATCTATTAAATTAAAATATAAATAATAATATTCAAATTAATAAATAGTAATAATGGTAGTTAAAAAAAATTGAAATGTGAAAAAAAGCTGATTAAAAATTTTTCTTAAAAAATTAGGATTAATATAAAATTTTTCAAATAAGATGTTTTTAAAATTGAACGAACGTTAAACAAACACGTTCATCAAAAATAAGGAACTTGTTCATGTTCAAAGTTCGTCAAAAATAAAATAAACGCCGTTCATCATCTTTTTAAAAACGAACTTAGTTCATGAACGCGTTCGTTTATAGCAACTAATAAATACTAGATCGGTATCAATTATTAAGTTAATGGTTTTGAATATTCAGATTTTTTGTGGATCTAAGCTAATAAAGTCCATAGAAGTAAATGGTTTTTCTAAGAGGTATGGGGTACTTGTGAGTAACTTTTTCACCTTCGAATGTTATTTAAGACCAATTTTTGCATGCCATTTACCAAGTCTTAAATAAAATATTGGTTATAATTTTACTCATTTTTGAGGTTGAAGGAGAGGAATGTACCAATTTTTATGATTAAAATGATATTTGCAAATTTTTATTGGGGAGGGGGTGGGAGATTTCTCACATTCCCCTCTCTCTTAGGCTGCACTGATGATAAGATGAATATTTTTACATATTTAATAATTATATTTACATATTTAATAATTCAATATATTATATATTTGGTATAAGAATTTTTTTTTATAAATTTTATCTTAAAATCAAAACATTTCATTAATGTATACCATATAAAAATAATTCAAGTATGATTATAATTAATCTCATTTGGAAAACCCAAACATCATATGTGAATCATATATCATTGAAATAAAATAGAACACTTAAATATATATATCATGGTATGTTTGTGATATTATATTTTCTGTAAATAACTTGAATATTATTATATATTTTTTTTGATTCTTGTATAATATCTATAAATTTTTGCAAAATTATCTCATTTCTATAATGATGGATCTCTAAAAATTATTTAAAAGCAAATAATTCAATTTAAAATTTACCATTAATATCTAATATAAATGAACAAGGGTCTAATTGATTAAGTAAATCATTTTTTGTAGGCAGGCTATGAGCTGCAACCTGAACTGCCTTTTTAATGATCCATGGATGGAATTGTGATAATGTTAAATTATAAGATTCTATTGCTATAGTAGACAGTTTATAATCCATATTATTAGTAAAATTTTCATTGTTTAAAATTTGTTGTTTATTAACTATTCCCTCTAAAAAGTTTATAAAAAAATTAAAGGCCCTATGAAGGCGTGACAATGTTCTACATCCTATGGCAGCATCATTTTTTATTATATATTCATTTATAGGTTCCTTCAAGAGAGTAACTTCATAATGAACCATAGACAATACTGTTTTATAAATACCTGATTTATTCGTATCTAATGTAAAATTATTCAAAATTGTTAATTTTTTTTGGACATCAGTGTAAATGAAATAGAATATTTTTCCCAACAAAGGAAAGAACCTTGAATTAAAAATAAACTAGATCAAGAAAAATATTAACTTCTGTATTTCTTGATATGCTTCGATATAAGATTTAAGTTCTATATCTTTATTTTCATTGCAGGTTTTAAGTTTAGTTTCTAGCAGTTGCAAATTAAATTTTTTGTCATTGGAGGGGTCTTCACTCATAGAGTGCCTCTAAAATAAAATAGTATGGTGACATAAAGAATATCAGACTTGTCAATTTGATAGATGTCAATCGATATTGGGAAGTAATTTTTTTGAATACAACTTTATCTTACTAAGTCCAACTTTTTTAAATTTTACCTCCAAGTCCTATATAAACTTACTATTAATATTTTAATTATTTTCTTTTCCATAAGCTAAATTTTTTTTAGTTTAAATCAAAATGTACAGCTTAAGTCTTTTTTTTATATATAAAATTAGCATTAATTAAGAGTTAAATCATATAAAAATGGCCGTTAAATATCCATTATGTTCCATTTAAATAATCATGATCTATCATAGTTACTAATGAAAATGATTAGATTTTATTAAAACCCATTTTTAATATATCTTAACCCAAATTCATATCTTCAAACCTTAAATTAACCCTAACCTATATCTCTATAACCTTTAATCTAACATTCTTGTTTAACTTTAGATATTCATACAATTAAAAAATTCCCTGAGTGACAGATTCTTTGAGTTATGATATGGGTTATTATCAGTAATTACTTGGCAGGGGGTAGGGGCTATGATTTTTAAAAATATATTATCAAAAAATATTATATATGAATAATTCTTATAATATTTTAAAAATAATTTAATAAATTTATTACTACCAATATCTAGACTATTTAAAAAATATATAAATATGAATTAAAAAAATTTTCATAAATTCATTTATCCGTTTTCTTTGGGATGTATTTATCTATAAAACGATTTCATTCGTAGGATAATTCTTTTTAGCAATTTTGGATCATGGATCTAGAATATATTCCATATGTGATGGTCCATTAATATATATAACATAACATACAAGTATCCATACAGTTAGGGAATTTTTAAAAATTTTCATTAAGAATATCTTCATATATATATATATTGTCGGAATATCATATTCATTTAATTTGAATTTTTAACAAAATATAATTAGTTAATTTTGGTCAAATCGTGCAACAATGTTTTAGGTCAATTTCTTTTTGAATTAAGTACATATCGGAAAGAATTTTTAAAATAAGATATAATTTTATTAAAATTTATTAAAGTATATTACCCTCTTTTCAATATCCATTAAACCGGAATGTATGATGCTTTCTAAAGAAATTATAAATTACTCTATTTTTAATCTTATTAGTTTTATATGTATTAAAAGTATATTTTCAAATAAAATGGAATCTCTGAGCGACATCTGTAAATATCTACCTGCCTACAATTTCTACAGATTTAAGAGCGATTTGCTTTCAATTCTTGAAGGAGTAATGGGGTAGGCATCTAAAAAAGGGTGGGAGGTAAATATAAAATAAACACTATTTGTAGATTAAAGAAAATAACTAATTAAAATATTCTAATTTATAAATAAATATTTATTTCTTGTACATTCATCAATAAGTCATTAATAAGGCTAATATTTAGAATTTCGGTTAATCACAACAAATTGATTATCACCAAATAATGATTATCTCCAACTAATTATTATCACCAATTAATTAATTAATGATTACCACTAGATTATTTGTTATTCCTAGTCTAAATATATGAGGCAAGAGTTTAGTTAAAATTGTTCAGTTATTATAAATGGTGGCTCATTTTTAGATTTTTTTTATTTATATCATGGGGTTGATAGAGCAAAATGGGTAGGTAAATAATGCGGCCGAATGGCGTGAAATTCCTTTTTTTTAAGGGGGGGAGGTGGGTAGGCATTTCAGCGGGAGTTTTTAAATAAATTTTCTGTCATATAGATGCTGCCTACATAATATTTTATTATCGTTAACATGTTCATAATGATCTATTTTTACATATAGGTAGGGCTGGGAATCAATAGTAAAAATCCAATATTAACAAAATATTGTATTGGGTCTAAAATATTGGTATTGGTTTAAACAATATTTTCTATTTCTTCTATTGGTATTGCTATTGGTTTATATTGGTAACTATTGGTTTATATTTGTATTGGTTTTAATTCAAATTACTAATTAAAAGAATAGAAATAGTGATTATAAAACCCTTAATTTCTAATTTTAAATAAACATGGGAAAAAAAAATCATTATACCATAAAATCAGGGCTAAGAACCAACTCTCAAAATTTTACTGAATTTAAATTCTCTTTTTAAACTAGGAATTTATTAGGTGATGTGAATATAAAAAATTTTGATTTAATCATGCATTTTTTGTATCAACAATAATAAACGTATTGATTTTGAACCATTATTTATCACAAAGAACATAGCAAAATAAGTAAATAAAAATGTAACATAACTGTCTATTTATACAAAATATAATGCAAAAGAATAATATAATTTTAATATAAGAGGAAATAATTATATGTATTTAAGAACGCATCCAACTTTTTAGGCACAGGCAAGCTTGTATAGTATGCTCATCTAGTGAACAACGTTGGTCTATTATTACATACCGTCCTTCTGAAAAAGCCCACTCAGAGCTAGATGCGGTGGCCAGAATTGCTAGATAATCTCTGGCAAATTTTGATAATACTGGATATCTATTTTTATTTAATTTCCACCAATCTAATGGATTTGTATCATTAGAAATTGTGGCTATATCTACGTATTTACTTATTTCTAAGTTGTTATTATTATGATGTTTCACCTGATAAATTTTGTCATAAAAGGACAATTTTTTGTTATTTTGTGCTCTTTTGTAAGTTCCGCTGAATTGTTATTATTTATTTTATAAATATTGTATTCATTAGTAAGATATCCAATAAGAGTTTCCATATTATTATGCTTTAATAAATGACTTGATAGTTTAAATCTTGGGTCAATCATTGTTGAAATAATAGAGGTGTTTATTAAAATTATAGTATTTATTATGTTTTGTTAAGGCAGCTAAAGAAGCTGTCTTTAAAATAGCATTAGGATTATTATTATAACTCTCCACATGCTCAAAAATACTGGAATATAAAGGAATAATTGTTGAAATTGATGAAGTATTAGCACATGAGGCCATCTCTGTGGCAAAATTAAATGGTTCCAGAAATTCTCGGTATATTTCTATATTATTCCAGGCTAAGGCACTAATATAATTTTCTTGATTGGTATTTTGTAAATGATTGGTATATGTTGTCAAATAGGGTTTGAGCAATATTGCCTCTTTCAAGCATTTGGTATGTTCAATTCCAACGTGTTGGTATATCCAAAATTGGGTGAGGAAATTTTAAGTGTGGATTTTTTTCAAGATATATTTTTTCAAGTTTATTAAATTTAAATATAGAAAGTTTAAAAATTTCTTAATTTTTTTAAAGTTGTATTTAAGGGTTCCAATGCAGCCATGACAGCCAAATGTATAATATGGCAAAAGCATTTACACACATTATCAAAATTATCGTTTTGTTTAAAAATTTTTAGAAATGCTGAATTATTACTTGCATTGTCTAATGTAATGCAAAAAATTTCAAATTTTACTTTTAATACAGAATTTAAAATATTATAAATATTAATAGAATTATGTGCTGATTTAAAAGGAATAAAATCTAATAAATGATTATTTAATTTGAAATCATTATCAATATAATGAATTGTTATGCCCATAAAGGGTATTTTATTTAGAGAGGACCTTATGTCCATTGTTAAGGAAAATTTAGATGTAATGTTAGAAAGTACAGATTTTTTTCATAATTTCTATTTTTAGTGTTTTTCTAGAAACTAATTTTACAATATGCTATTAAATTTTTATAAGTGATATCCTCAACTATTGGAAAAGCTAAGTTATTTTGAATGAAAAAGTTTTTAATTAAATTATTTAAATTAGCTTTATTATTTATATTATTAAGTAAAAATGATCTTATTGTCTTAATTTTTTTACTGACAATATTTATTTGCTCACATTTCTTATATAATGTTGTGTGGATGGATTTAAGATGTGTCCATAATCCTGAAGTTCCAAAATTGGGAAGTGATATTTTTTTTTTACATTTATTACAAATTGCCTTTTTTTTATTATCACAAGTAGTAAAAAATTCCCAGATTTTTGCTGAATTTCGTCTTTTATTAGATATTGATGATTCTTCTTGTTCATTATCGCTATTATTATTAGTACCAACAGCATCTATATTTATTAACTCTATTTGGTCTTCATTTATTATAATATCCTAAATGAATAGATAAAATCGATAGATATCATGTAAAAAATTTACTTCCATAATAAAAATAAACTATAATTATAAATAAAAGCAATATTGATATCACAGTAGTATTTGGAAGAAATAACAGATGTAATCAGTTTTTGCAATGAAATTAAAAAAAATACCACGATATAATTATCCACGATAAACCCTAATAATTATGTTATTTTTAATATTGGTATTGTTATTGGTTAAAATTGTATTTAAACAATATATCAAAACCAATATATTTAGGTAATTGGATTGGTTTATATAGGTATTGGTCAGAGTTGGGCAGGTCCTTCGGAAAAAGAATCTAGATACAGATTCAGATTCTTTATAAAAAAATGAATCTTAGTTACAGATATTAGTATCTTTTTCAAAATATCAAAAAGATACAAGATAAAAGATACTTGTAAAAAGATACTTGTATCTTTTACTAAATTAGAGTATCTTAAATACAAGATACTTTTAAATTATCATTACCAATTAAATTAGAATAGTTTATAAAATACAGTTTTTATTATTTATTTGTGAAGAACATAGCATAAACATATAAGAATGAATAATTGCAATAATTAATACATATTTATTGATGAATTAATTATAATAACCAGGGATTTTAATATTAGTTTTTGCCCATTAATAGCTAAAACAGGGAAGGGAGAGTAATATATTTAATGGGAGTTGAAAATTTGCAAATAAGAAGAAAAAAAATTAAATCAAAGGATTTATTAGAATTTGCAGGTTTTCTCTGTGTTGTTTTAAATATAGCTTATATTCGGAGTATATGGCTAATTGGCATCTCTAAAAAAAATATACTAGTTTTATTTTATTCATTATCTTTAATAAGTATTTATCATTACTTGTTTGTGATACTTATATGTTTTTTAAATTAGTTTTAT